TTTAGGACAACAATGCGGAGTCCATTGTTCAATTAAAACGACGTAATTTTGTTGAAAACGCCCGCATCTTTTTACTCACGGTATGCGTCGGGAAACTTCCACATTTTGAAACAGAACGAGGCAGATTTACTTTTAAAAACGCTCCCAGCGTCCTCCCGGACCAGTTTGACTGGATCAGCTGACGACGACGGGACTTCACTGGTTGAACGTCAACCCCACAACAACCAATTTGCGCTCCGTGTTAGCACCGCATTACACACACCACGAACGTTTCAGCTCGGTCGCATCGCTGTGTTCCACCAAACAGAACGAGATCGCCGAAACCAAACCAGCGCAGTGGTGAACCTTGGCTTGTGGTCGCGCACTCGTGGATTCTGTGACTCCCTTCGCTTTCAAAGCGCGCACCACGATTACGAACGATACTTTCCATCTTCCGGGAACATCACGGGGGCACTTCTCCGGTCACGTCTTCGCTACATGCGTCAAACCAAAAAAATACCGCGGCCTGGCGTAGTTGCCAGACCTTGCCGGAAGTCGAGACGCTGCGTCGGTCAACTCCGCAACGCAAGGAGGGTGAGGGGCGGGGCGTACTCCTCTTCCGCGGGGGTCGAAAGAGCGGGAGTTTCAAATGTGGAGAGGTTCTGACTCTACTAAATTACGTCCTGTGGCGTAAATATTGATAAAAAAAATTATTTTTTTCGCGGAACATTTGTTTTGTGACATGCTTGTCCCAATTAGGCTGTTTAAAAAAAAACTTTTTTTTCTTTGCAGTTACCCTTTAAGTCGCGCCCGTCGTTTGTTAAGGCACCGGAAGTTTAAGAAACACGGGCGTCGCTCACTACGCTCCCGCTTCTTGCTTAGGGATTCGTACTTTGGGTTCCTTCTTGTCGGCTGATTACAGAGTTTCGCTGAAGCGACAATAATTGATGCTCGAAATTCGTCACACTCACACTGACGAGAGAGAGAGGGGGGAAGTGGGAGATGACAAACTGGCGTTCGAATATCATCTGCGAATGAGATCCGCTCGTTTGCATCATGAAACGTGCATAAAATTGTATTGAATCTGTAAAAACAACTGAACAAAGTTCTTGAAAAAAATAACTTTGAAAGTATTTTTATTTCGTGAATCTGAATATCACACTTGTTTTTCCTGGAGATGAAACTAAACGCGAGAAAACACGAAAAACCCCAGACCAGTCGTTACGTAATAGACCTCTTTGCTGTTTACAAACAGGAACTGCCACTTACGTCCCAACTTCTAAGTGAGTTCCGGTCGCACCGTCTTTGCAAGCCGGTTGAGCTTGCTTATGTCACCGGTGCTAGAAAGCATAAATTCTACGCGGACAACAAAGTTGGAGATGTAACGAGGGCCTTCGGCTGTACAATATTACATCTTGGAGGAGGCAAGCTAGTTTACACGAACACTCAAAACATTTTAACAGATCTCGCACTCCAATTCATTCTTTTGGCGTTCACCTAGAGCAGTGGTTCTCAACCATCGATGTTTCGCGGACCCCTTGTGGGTCGGCGGAGATGATGAAGGACCCCGTTCAGGGTGAGAGGAGAAGAAAAGTATAGGTTAAATATAATATTGATTTAATATAAATGTATATAACTAAGAGCTAGCTCGAAGTAGACCTCTCTTATTGACGTACACAAGAGAAAACTCGCGCAAAAGCGGAAACATTTCTCGACGAAAATAATCCCTGAAGAAGGGGAACAAGAGGGACAAAGGACAAACATTTATGTTTGTCCTTTGTCCCTCTTGTTCCCCTTCTCCAGGGATTATTTTCGTCATTGTTGTCCAGCTCGCTTGCATCTTTGCAATTATTTGCATTATAATTATAACATTTCTTTTCAATCTGGAAAAAGACAACTTTTGTTGCCGGGCTTGACTGATGAGGCAGGGCTTCGCGGACCCCTAGAATGCCTTCGCGGACCCCGAAGGGTCCGCGGATCCTCATTTGAGAACCACTGACCTAGAGAATTGGTGCTTAAACGTTTCATCTGCATTTAAGCAGCGATGTTAAGGTGGCCTTTGTTCATTCTTTTTATAAACCGAAAGTTCCCTGCGACGTCAAAGACTGGAGCACCACCTGGTGGCGTTTGCCATAAAAAGGGTCTATACCCAGAGCTTTCGGCCGCCAAGCGCGTGTCGCTCGTGTGGGCAGCGCGTGCAATAGACCTTGTGCCGAATAACCCAAGCATCATAAAGAATGCTGAGAAGTTGAGCGTAGGTACACGCGCTGCACGCGCTGGCGTCTTCAGCTCTAACTGCTCGAAAGCAAAGATCTAAAATATATGACGCTTCGCACACGCGTTTTACGAACGCTTTATTTTGGTTATTCACTTTGAATCCTTTCAATAGGTAAGGCGAGCACGTGCACCGCGTGTATTTACGTTCCTATAGCCATATCGTTGTTGCTTGGGTAATTTAGCGAAATGTCTATAGACCATTTGCTGTATTACCCACTGCATCAAGGAGAATGCAGGGATTGGTGTTCCACGCGCCACACGCGCACGCCTTCCCCATATAAAAGATTCGAAGTAAATACCCAAAATAAAGCGTTGACGCACGCGCGTGCAAGATGCCATTTGTTTTAGGTATTTGCTTTAGAAAAGTTACTACGGCTGACGTCAGCACGTGCAGTGCGTGGAACACCAATCCCTGCATTTTCCTTGATGCTTGCATATTATAGCAATAAGTCTATTGCAAGCTCGCTAAGCAACCCCCGCCCCCCCCCCCCCCCCCAAAAAAAAAAAAAAAGGGGGGGGGGGGTGGGCTTTTGGCTTGTTTTATTTTCAGTGTTGGTGCGTATGGTGTGTGATTTGCTCGCTTTCCGAAGCGACGAGCATGCACGTGATGGGCTGAGGAGATCGCACCTGGGTTGACTACTTGTAAATATTGCGATGGTGTTGACACCGGTCGTGACGTCTTTTTCTGACCCTCTTTGAAAGTATCAAGAGTGCGGGTGCATAGCTTTGATAGGCGCTGAAGATGCTCGAAAGCAGAGATTCCGAAAACTTTGAATATGACGACACGAAATTTAAGAAACATAATCATCGTGATATTCGAATGAAAACAATTTAAGCGTTTTCCCTCAAATACAGAACCGCTTCTATATCCCTTTAAGCAACCGTGTTCGCAACCGTTTTCGAACGCGGTTCGACTGCCAGCGTGTCGTGAGTGCACCGTTATTGACTATACAGCGCCTTCTAGCAGGTGGACATCTTCGCGTTCTTCCTTCCTTCCCAGTGAAAGCGTAAGTGCGCTGAAGCAGTTATAACATTGCGCCTTTTACTGATGGGTAACCTTATTTGGTGTCCAGACGCAACATGTCAATAACCTTTCCGAATTCATAACGCCATTATTTCCACTGCAATCGGACAAAATGATTTTTAGTATCAAACTCGTATAATTAAAGGAGTGTATGGTGATCTCAGCCCCTGCCCCTTCCGATCTGGACGAGCATTGTGCCGGCACGCGCGGTCATGTATCCCTACTGCACGGTGCACGTGAAGACCCCCAGGATAACGATTGTAGTGCCCTGGCTAAATTTCTCGTATACAGCTGAGAGACAAGTCGCTACTGTTGAGGCAGACTAACTTCAGGCTGCCAAACATACCCGCACACTTTTTTCTTTTTTTTTTAGGAGTTATTGGGGGACTTTAGCAGGACGCTTAGACAAAACTAACACGACGGCTTCCAAAAAAGTCCATAACCGTGTGTCACTTCTTTTGTGCGACCATTGCTCAAGTTTTGTTTTATGACAACTTTGTTTGTCTCAATTTTTTTCACCGTGTTTGTGATGTCGGCAGTGATGCAGTGGAAAGGGTCCCGGCACGTTTTACGCTAAATTAAGCCGGTGGGCCTCTTACGTCGATGATCCCTGCGTGCGCGCAAAGCGCTACGCACAACGTTTTGCGGCGCGCAAAAACGTACGTGTTGAAATAGATGATGGCGTAAACTGTCTGTTCGTGGCGGCAGCCGTGAAGGGAAGTCGCTATCAGTTGTGCGCGTCATAAAGCCTGTCGTTCTGCTGGAAATTTTGAGCTGTTCCTGTGGGATGATGACCGCGATACGACACAAGCACTGCTCGTGTCGTATATCGCAAGCACCGTGCACCGTCGTTTCCTGCGTTTTGTGATGCGGAATACATTTCGTGAAAAAATCGGCTTGCACGATACTTTTTGTTTTACCTTTGATCCTCGAACGCCCCTTCCCCCCTCCCCTCCCCTTTTTCTCCCTTTTTCCTTATCCCCTGGGGCTCTGGGTTTTTACATGTGTTTCACATTGACACTGAGCGCTAGCAACGCTAAAAGCCATTGTGGCCAAGCCCCTCCCAAAACTCTAGATCGAGACATTTTCCGAAATTCATCGCGTGTGTTACCGACAACTGATGCGCTCAAGTGTGAAGAATTCGTCTTGACAGCACGTTTTTCGAAGTCTTTGTGTTTGTATCCGTTACAACTAGCGTTTGGCCTACTCGGACTTCAGATAAAATGGAGTGTAGTGCTTCGCTTTCGTATATTTGGTACAAGATTCAGTCTTTGAGCATCTACATATCTAAATATTCCGTTTCCCCACAGTAGTTTTACGCCGGGTCCGTTGCCATCATCGAACAAAACGATTGGAGGGTACGGAGGTGCGTCAATCTAAGTTTCAAGTGAAGGCTCCCAATCCGCTCACTGTATTTTCATGCTGTGACCTATAATGTTTTTAATTAATTTACTTCCGATAATCGCATAGTTCGGTTTAGGTGGGCAAGCTTTTAGAGCGCAGCTCTGAGGCGCCCGTTTCCGGCTTGAGCGGCGTAACCGTGAGGTCACGTGACCCCCCCCCCCCCCCGGACACCCCCCCCCCCCCCCCCCTCAGTACCCTTCCCTCCTCCTCCTCAAGAGCTGCGCTCTAATTCGGCGTTACAGGGAGTTGTAAACGGCTTTCATTTTTTTGACTGAGGTTAACGCTTTTCCTCTTTTTTTTTCTTCTTCTCCTGCAGCCGTGTTTGGAATCTTCGGAAGCACACTCACGGCTCGGAGCGGAGAAGGTTCCGAAACGATCCTGCTTCTCGACGACAAAGGGTGAGTTTCCATAGCTTTGACTGCGCAAAAGTCTGGGTTAGGAAAAGACGGCGATCGAAAATTACGAATACCCGCAGACTATAGAGTCACTAAATGAGCTGCGCTTAGAGTATGGGCACTCCGTTCCCCGACATTGTTGTGGACGCCGCCATTTCGGGGCTTGTGCAGAGCAGACGCAACTGCCGATCGTCATGATTCAAAGATGCGACTTCCTCGGCATTAGATTGGGTGTTAGGAAGCTCATGTAATATTGATTCTCTCTGTAGCGAACTGTTTAATCTTTTGTGGAGGGCGGAAAAGCGTTTCCTGTGATTTCAGAAAAAAAGCTTAAGAGAACTGGCAACCATGATCTTAAGCCACAATATGGCCAACTGTCGTTACTCTGAAGCGCAGCTTATTTAGTGGCACTAGCACTTGTGTCATTCTAACTCGTAATTTTCTTTCACCCCTCGTGTCCAGTTTCTCTTTCTCTCCTTCTTTTTTCTTTCGGTGTTTTTTTTTTCAAATTGTTTGCGGTTGTGCTTTTGTGTTTGGTGAGTCTAGGCGTCAGTATTAAATTGAACGCTCATTATATCATTGCTGTTTGACGACAAAAAAGTACACCTCGAAAGCAAACAATTCAGAACACAGTTTCACTACCGCCATATGGGTGTATCCGCGTGTTTTCACCCTTTCGTTGCCCCCCCCCCCCCCCCCCTCCCCCACTTTTAATAAAGAGGAAAATATATTTACTGAACTGTAACCACTGTCCCAATATGAGAGATGCTCTATCTCGAGCAACCGATCAATGTCCAATCACTGGATGAGTTTCATACTAATGATAGCAGGACTCTCTATTTTGTTTTATTCGCGTATGACCCTAATCGATGTACATATGCGATGCCATCGCCGCATGTGTGACGTAATTACCACTCACATATACACGCTTGTAAGGACGCCTACTAGCGGTGTCTATTAAGGGTATTGACGGTTTTTGCAAAACCGTAGACGAAACGATTGTCTCTAAAACCGTTTCCGCTAAACTCTGGCCAAACGACTCTCACATTCGGGCGGGGAGCCTCGGAACAAAAGAGACGCATGTTTCGTACTTCTAGCGGAACGACGCGTAAGAGAAGTAATATGGGGCGTATACCAGAAGCACCTAATAAGACGATCGAAAAAAGAAAAAAAAAAAGAAAAGAAGAAAAAGCAAACCCTGGCTTCCTGCAATCATCGACCCGGTCGTTCCATCGCGCCGCCTCCACTTCCGATGCCGCTATGCCGTGAACACGATCGCGAGGCGACGACGACACCATGTTTGCGGAAAAGGCCCGCTCCACCTCCGGGAATGCCCGGAATTCTGCTAGTTTCTCCCTTCAGCAGAAACAATATATGCGCAACGAGTAACATACACAAAATGTGAGCGAATAAAACGCGTGGCAGTGCTCCCCCCCGCCCCTGGATAGAAGACGTCCCGCTTGATACAAGCGTCCGGGACCTTGGTCTTGCCACCAACGTGATAACGTGCCCCCCCCCCCCCCCCCCCCCTTCCTCTCAGAATTCACTGATATTAATAACCTCGAGCTCGGGAAATGGGAAAGAAAGCAAGGGGGGGGGGGGGGGGGGGGCGTTCTTCTCAAGTGTCCATCAGAAGAACGAACGGGGGTGAGCTTGTTTGACGTTTCTCGCTGGCTCCTGCTGCCCTTCTTGTAAGAGGAGAGATTAGAGCGAAACGGCCTTCGGCCGTGACAGTGTGTGTCCTGAGCGCGGGGATGCAGCGATCTCATCATCTCTCGTCTGACAAGGAGGAGGGTGTGCGTGCCGATGGTCTGATCTGTTTCCCTGTTTTTCGAGGCTGCTACATGCGTGGGGCCGCCTCGGATCCCGGCGCTGCTTGTCTGCATGGTGCCCCGAGGATGGCGGGACGTTGAGATTGAGGAGAAGGGGGAGGTTTGAATGGCGGGGTTTGGGAGATGCTGCGTTTATCTCGGCGGGACGTGTGAGCGGTCGTACACGCATTAGATGGAGGGACGAGAACGCAACTCCCTTCGTTTGTTTCGAGCAACGGGGGAAAAAAAGAAAAAAAAGGCAGACCGGAATGCAGATCAATGAGTGCAACACGTTTACAGTTTCGCTGTTTGGCGAACCTTTCCTTCGGCATTCTAGGAAACACGTAGTTTCCAATTAGAAGTGAGATGGGCCCGGGGCGAAATCGTTATTAGGGTTTTGCATGTTTTCATCCGGATGTACACGCAATTTTTCTTTTATTTTTCCCTTTTTTTATTGAGTTTCTTTGTTGTTGTTCATTTCACCCATAGATCATAGTGTTCTTTTCTTGCTCATTTTTGAACTGTTTTCTGCATATTCTTATCACTGTCGGATTTGTCGCTGGGGTGCACATTTTCACACAGTGTATGCTAGACGCCATGCGCAGTACGATCGTGACCTCCTTAATCATGCTAAACGCAGCAAGTAGCGTAAGTCTGACTTGTAGCGTAATGCGGCAATACAGCTTAATGAGACCTGTAAGATTTTCAAACTTTCTCTTATTTGCGCTTTCTGACGACATCGCAAATGTTGGCTTTACGTTATCGGAATAAATACGACCAAAGTTTATCTCCAAAGTTTAGCACCTTCATATCAGTTCGGAGTACCGCTGCTTACGTTTCGGCGCGTGAGGACGCTACAGATGACACATTTCCACACTATGATTTGTACTTTTTCTTTTCTTTCTGGTAGCATTATTTTACGTGGTAATAACCCAATTTCGATTCACCTCGGTTTTTTGTTTACGACACAACAAAGCCACCGAGGTCTCAAAATTTAGAAAGTGCGCAGCGACTTTTTGGGGTTTCGTTTTTGTCTTGAGAAACGTGCTGGTTACGAGTGTGGGGTCGAAGTTTACACGGACAAATGAGGTAATGAAAAATACAAAAGACACGTTTTTAAACTTTTAAAAGTAATGGTTATTTTTTCAAGTAACGGCCAATTAACTTCCTTCCCAAGTAACCAGTTAATCTAATTGAACATTTTTTAAGCAAGAGTAATTGTAATTGCAGATTACCTTTTTCGAATAACCTGTGCAGGTCTGAGTTCGCATGACGTCCAACTTCGACCAAATATTACGAACCATAATGCGGAAATCAGGTAAACTATAGAAATAAATCTGTCTATAAGCCTCGCCTATCTCAAGTTGAATATGAGGACGCAAGAGCGTTGAGAAAGGCACTATCTTTTACAGTCGTGCAGAGCGTGGCACAGTTAGCACGAAGAAGCTGATGTCTTTTGTTCTACGTGTTTGTTTCGTGAAATTGGAAAATTGGTTTAAGTACTGCTTTGTGCGCAGTCTAAAGTTCTTGGCCTTAACGCAAACTCACGCGGTTCAGTTTAATGCTCGCTGGCACCCTTTCTGAATAATCAGCTGAAAAGCATAAATTTCGTGTAAGCACTAATTGTCTCGCAGAGCGTCTGTCGTGTACTCAGCTCGTGAGATTATATACTCGACTCTAGAGCGTGCGCTCGTTCATGTGACTTTCTCAAAGCTGAGTAGAATCTTGGATGAATCAACTTTTGGGCAAGATGTTTCATTTGAGGCGTCTCTTCTGGTCAACAACCACTTTGAGAAAACTTCCCAAGACCACGACTTGGTCACCTCTAGTTTCTCAACTCGACAGTGACGCCTGCATCCGCACCTTCCCTTCGCAGCTATTATTCGAAGGAAACCGCTCTTATCGCGGGCATCAAACGAGGCTTATCTAATGAAGACTTGCAGTCAGTTTGCCCCTTGAGGTCAAAGCGAGGAAAGTTTCCCCAGTTCTACAAAAGTTTCAGGCCACCTGTTGGGGACTGCTACTGCTTCGAGCTCTCGCAGAAAGCCGCGGCTCTCGGAGCGAGCGCTGCAGATGTCGTCCGAAACATTCGGGGGACGAGTTCTCAAAGCGCGGCTGCCTCTGACGCCCTCGGATAAGATGAACCGTAGTTTGAGCTACGGAACGAGCGACGCCAATCGGGCCACGCAAACACGCTGCGAGGCGTGACGTCACGCGGCTAAATTAACCAATCAGAGCCTGCAGACCGCCCACTAAGAAACGGTTATCTTGTGGCCGAACGGATCAATCGGCCGTTTTCGAAATGGGGTCCCTTCTATACTCTGATTGACCTTTTTTATGATGGACCTCAGAGTACCCCCTATAAAAGCCATTCCAGCCAATCCCCATGCCGTGTGGTAGGTGTCACGTGACCCTCGTAAGAAGCCCAGCGACGCGAGTGACGCTCAGTGACGTCATACGTCCGCAGCTCGCTGAATTGGCTCGCAGACTCCCCAAAAAACCTGGAGCGTTTTTTTCCTGCCAAGCTCCTAAAGAGCCAATCCTCGCAATCTACAGCGCGTCGATGAGGCAATCACTGCAACGACAACAGTGAAAGTAGAGAGCGTTAGTAGATTGTACGCTGTGGACAGCGGGCCCAGCGGACGCGTGCTCAATCCCTGTGCTTCGAAGTGACGGCACGAGCTCCGATTAGCCACGCGTATATTTCTAGGATATACGGTCTACTAGATATCTCTAATATGTTCATAGTGTTCAATAAATGGTCTGCGCTTTGTACTGAGCACGACGAAACATCATGCCCTGTGCGTAGACTGTCTTTTTTTGTTTTCTGTCGATACATTTTTTTTTTAATTTGTCATTTGCCGCATTTTTTCCGTAGTTACCAACGATTCGCTGTCCCAGCATGCGTTTTCGGGAGAGTAGACACTCGATATTTCTTAGAGAATGTAGCTTCCGCTCCAGTCCATCGTGGGATGAAGCCGAGCATATACTTGATTTGCCTTCGAGGATGTGTGGTTTCCGGAGCCGGTCCAGGTTAAGAAGCGAGTGTGGGCGGCAACGCAGGGACGGGCCCCTCCGCGGCGCGCTCATTCAGCGCCGCAGCTTCTTCCCGAGTCCGGTCTTCTCCCCGCTCCTCGCGCTCATTTAATTAACGTCCCGCATTCGCATTCGCGCAGGCTGCGAGATAAGGGCGTTTGTCTTGCAGCTCGGAAGCTGCGGCGAGGAGACCGGCGCTCCGCCGGGCGTTTTACAAACGTACTACGTCCGCCGACGGGCATTGTCTTGGCGCACCGGCGTCCCACACATCCCGGTTGGAACTCGGTTTGGCGTGCGAGTGCGCGCTCATTTGCGGCCGCAAAGACTCTCGGCGTTTCTGCGCGGGCCCAGGGTTCGCGTGCGGGGCTCGAACAGCCTAGATTTAAGAGAGGGTTCAGTTCAAACCCACGAGAGCGTTTGCAGTTCAACGGTGTGCGTTGTCGTTCGAAAGGCCGGGAGGCTTGCAGACGACCCAACGTCTGCGTCCCCAACTGCTCGTAGCTCGTATTGCGAGCGCGTCCCACGAACCACGTGACCACGATCCAACGGTTGGTAACCCTCTGTAATTTAGGCACATTAGCGGGGCCTAATGGAAGAAGGGCGCTACGAACCATCGAAGCCCCAGACGAATGTCGCGCGATCGTCACGTGAGATTCGGGACGGGTGCGGCGACGCGAGTCGTGTGTGTGGTCACGTGATAACGTTTAAAGCCCTAGATTTGCTAGGATTACTCCATAGCGTCCGCTGAGGTCCATCGTTAGGTGGAACGGAGTGTAGCACCCGAGCGTGTCGTGTGAGTATAACCGCATACTGTGTTTGAAAATAACGTTTCCCCATTTGTCTTTTCCATGCCACTGCTCCCCATTTTCCCTATTGAGAAAGTTCGAGTGGGCACTGTTCGTCCTACGTGGCGATTCTGTTTGGTTACGGAACCGCCCCCCCCCCCCCCCCCTCCCACAAAAAAAAAAAGAAAAGTTTGGGAATAATGGGTGCACGTTATAAGTGTTTCTCCCCGCGATGACTTTAACGCGAGTTGGTTTGTGAGTTGGATTTGATAGGGGGGGGGGGGGGGGGGGGGGGGGCGACGGGGGACGACTTGAAAAGATGGGGCAATCATTTTGATTGCTTGCTTCGTCTTACCACGCAATGTCTGCCTGTTTTTTTTTTTTTAATTCTGCATCATATGATCAATATTTGATATCATTCCCTACGCCCGGTCAGCGCTGGCTTGCCAGAAGTACCCACTCTATATCTTAGTGACAATCTCAAGTGTTAAAAACAATTTCGGTTGTTCTGTTTTCTTTTTTTTTTTTTTGGTAACGGCTAGGGCTAGCGTAATCATTACAACCGTTTCGCGTACATCGCCTGCAAGCACATTTCGTATCCTAGCTGAAACATCGCAAGACCTAAATGATCCTGATTTGTGTAAACGTTGAAGTGACGAAACAAAGGCAAACGAAAAACAGAAAGAAATTATTTTAGAAAGAAATATACTAACACAATTCCACGTACGTTTTTTTTTTTTTATGTGTAGGTATATGTTACTTTTGTTCTGCCTTATTGGGATTGTTGAAAAGCAGGCTCCTGACGATAAAAATGGGCCTTTAACAATGCCGTCTTGCATCTGATTGTTGTCACATACAGCATATTTCATGGCGAGTTCGAATGCGTCGCTTTGTGGTATCTGAACCTCTTAAAGCAGAAAGCCTGGCGTCATGTACGACGGTGTGTGTCGATGCCACATTCTCTAATAACGAATGAAATTAAAATAAAAAAGTGTTTGACTACAGCTTCTAAAAAAAAAAGAAAAATAAATCGTCAATTTTGTTTAGGTTCTTCGGGCGTTCTAGAATATATATATTGGGTGCGTGCCCTAGCTCCCGAATGTTATACATAAAAAAGCGATCGAAGATAGATTTTTGAGGGCAGTGAGGCAGAAGAAACTTATGCGGAAAAGAGAAAACGTAAGACGTTTTGATCAAATAATGGATTTTATCGTGTATAACATAGAGTTATGGTTCCGCGTTTTCGGATTTTATTTTTTTCAAAATTCGGCATATCTTTTCGGTGTTTATTTTAACACTCAATTTTCGTTTTTTTTTTCGGTGTATATTTACGCCCATAAAAATTTACCGATTTTTTTTTTTTTTTTTTGTGAATATGAAAGAAGCTTTATCGGACACCGGACCAAATAATTTTCGTAACTCTAATATTTGTTATGCCTCAAAAAAAATAATAAAATAACGGCATAAATACATAAAAATATCGACACTTTATTTGGCGAATCTGTGCAACTGTAAAAAAAGAAAAATCCCCTAAAACAGAGAAGTACAAACAAGACATTGTCCGAAAAAGATGGAATTTCACCTTCTGTACATCAGGATTACGTGATCTTATTATAGTAAACACATATACACGTTCCCAGGTTGTCCTTATTGATCCACGCTCATTCTTTCCTGTTAATGACCCTGGGCTTCGAGAACGCCCTCTGAACGTAACACTGGGCACTGGCAGGCTGAGGAGATGAAGCGCTGCCTGAGCCAAAATCCGCCAATCAACCAATTGTGACCGCTAAAAGACACACGGTGCAACGTTTTGAAGCACAACATATTTCGTGTGCTCACTAAATTCTGGCTGCAGATCTTGCATGAAACTAAAAACCTCATACTAGCCCACACCCGAACTTTCCTTTTTTTTTTTTTTTTTTGGACCAGAAACTTTACGCATTAAGCCCGATCACAGAAAAGATACAGATGTCCCGCGGAGGCCAATCCACGACCTCTTTTGTTGCATGTTGAACCTTGGAAGAGGGCAATCACGAAGACGTCACACAATGTCGAACTTTGCGACGCCCTCTCTCCCCTCCCCCATCCTCCCCCGCCCATCTCGACGCGACCCTAAAAAACTGACCATTTTCGGTTAAAACCGAATGCTCGAAAATGGATTCGGCATACTTTTATCGGTTTAACCCGAAAACTCCGAACCCTACACATAATATTAATCCAAACCATGTCGTTTAAGCACAAAAAAAGATAAAATGTCGAGGTACCTGCATTCGATTTAATCAAATATTTGTATGGCACAGGTCTTCGAGCTGCATCACGTGATCTTATGAGGTAAAAAAAAAGAAGAAAAAAAAGCTGACGGCCATTTTTGAAGGAACAGGCCTACTTTTTTTTTGCAGTCAATTTACGTAATTGAATGCCTTGTATTCATCTAAAATCGAGATCATTTAATCAAACTTTTTTGAAGCAATACGATATACTTTTAGAAAAAGGCGCGCCACCTATAAGTCCGTTGCAACTCAAGGGCTATGCTCCAAATCTTATCCAAATGGATCCGAGTTACTCACGTGATAGCACAGATTGAAAAACGCTGGACGCGGGTAGGTTTTAGAAAGCCAAGGGTACAAAACCCTTACCCTGGAGTAAGATCAAGTAAAGTTTGGAACACGGCCAAGAAGTGTAAGGCGAGGGGAAGAAAGGCCGGAGAGGAGGAAGCAGACGCAACCAACGTAACACAAGGGAGAAGAGGAGGTTTGCCCCCTCCTCTCCAGCGTTCCGTCTGCTACCTCCTCCCCGGCTTTCCTTTTCTTCGGCCTACCTCCTTGAGTTGCAGCGGAATACAGTCTGTTGCACCGGATGGATGGATGGATGTTAATTGCTTATTAATTAATTAATTAATGCTATAGCCTTACAAGGTAACCTGTATGGGATATAACCGTATAAGGTTTAACTGGATAAGGTCTAACCCTACAAGGTATAATAACCATATAAGGTACAACCGTATGAAGTAAATCTGTACAAAGTACTAGTCTGTATAAGATGTAAAATTATAACCTCTTTGTAACGGGCGGTAGCTTGCGCCACCTAGCCTAAGTCTAAAAAAAAAACAAAAAAACAACAACAAATTGTTGAAGTTTACTGTTGCTTGGGCGCGTACTTTAAGCATATATTGAACACGAGTGCAGCGCCAACTGTCGGCGAGTGCTCTGTTCCAATCACACGTTTCGTGTCCACGAAATAGCGACCGCCAATGTTGCTCGACGGACTTTTGAAAAAAAGGTTTTATTGAGATAGTGTAATTGAATATTTTAGTCATTAAATCAAAATCATGTCGTCAAATAGTACCTTGGAGTCATGTACCAGGAATTATCTTATCAAATACGTTATTGTCACTGACAACTTCAGAAATTATGGGGTACAGCAAATCCACGCATCTCATTATCGCCCAAAGCCAATGGAGATTGCGTCATTGGTCGATAAAAAAAAAAAAAAAACAAAAAAAAAAAACAACGAGGAACGAATTACGAAGCCAGAAGATTGAACATAAGAACTCACTACCTGGGTTTCTTAAGCTGGGAAGGACTATGGTAGTCCCTAGTATACAAGACCGATGCACATCACCGAATACGATTATTTTTCTGCTCGTAGGTGCCCCGTGGAACCGGCCGTGTTCCCGGGTTTCGAGCGCGTCCCGTCGTCGAAGTCGCTCATCGCGCCGTTTCAGGCGTTCCGCTTCGCTTCGGACAGCACCGTCAAGTTCCAGATGACGGTCTCCTTCTGCCTGGACGTTTGCCCTCCAGTAAGTGCCCCTTTGAGTTGATACTTGCAGTCAGATAGGTTGTACGGATGTGTGCGCGGTGGCAGTTAGTGTACGACTATAGAACGTGAAACGGTGTAAATGCACAGGTATAACTGGATCAGGTAAAACTATACACAGTATTACCGTATGAGATGTAACAGTATAGTATATAGATGTACGGTAGTGCTATTGTATAAGATGCAACCTCATAAGTCTGCATCTGTATGAAGCATAAGCATATAAGATATAGCCTTATAAGGTAACCTGTATGGGATATAACCGTATAAGGTATAACTGGATAAGGTACAACCGAATAAAGTAAAGTTCTACAAAGTACTATTCTGTATAAGATGTAACCATAAGGTATACCTGTATGAGGTAAGTCCTATGAGGTATAACCCTACAAATCAAACTCTTTAGGATATAGCCATATAAGTTATAACTAGGGTGTGCATTTTCCGGTTTTAACCGAAAAACACCGATAAACATCCGTCGGTGACGAAAATATAAAATCGGTTGAAACCGAAAAACACCGGTGGTTGGATATTTTCGCCCTGGTTAAAACCGAAAAACACCGGTCGTTGCTAGTTTCCGACCTAGCGAAACCCTTTCCCCGTAGAGGTTCGTCAAACGTGTTATCTCGTGGATCCTGCATTCTTCCAGTGTTTATACATGGCTTGCAGGTGGCGTCAGTCCGCCCTCCTTTCTGGGGGTCAAAAGCGTCTAGTGAACGCAGTGGAAGCTAAGCTCTCATACGCCTTTCCCCTATTGTGTCTCCCATGACCCCCTTTTGTGGAAAAATTAACACAGTGGAGGGTAGGCTCTCACGTGCCTTTTCCTCATTGTGTCTGGCCAAGTGATGTCGGTGCAAGCCATGTATTCAGAGGTTGCTGTGGTTCCTGGAAGACACTGCCAACGTCCGTGTCGTACAGGAGCGTGCGTTTTCATAATTGCGGGTTGCGAACCGCAAGGAACGTGCTGCCATGACGGCAGCACGTTCCTTGCGTGTAGATGCAAGCATAAAAGTGTGCTTGCATCTACTATAATAACCAAGTGTTAGAAATAGTTGCTTCCTAGAGAAGAAGTGTATGAACTATGTGAATAAAATTGGAACTCTCTTTCTGTGATCAATCGCTTTTTTTTTTCACCGATATTCACCGATTTCAGCCTCGTCGTGAGACGTTCCACCGAAATACACCGGTGTCTTGAATATAAATAAACACCGAAAAACATCCGCCGATTTTTCTCACAAATAAACACCGGAAAGTACACACCCTAGTTATAACTGGATAACAAGGTAAAGTCTATTGGATTTTAACGTATAAGGTGTAACCGTATTATGCATTACTGCATGAGGCGTTACTATATAAGTCGTAAGCTAATAAGGTATAGCCGTATGAGGTATAACCGTATAAGGTGCTTACAAGCTGAACTGTATAAAGTATTACCGTGTGAAGTATAACTGTATAAGGCATAACTGTGGAACTGTGGTGACTAATGTAACGTTTGCAGTCGCTGCAGGCACCTTTCAACATGAGACTCGCCAGGGAAGTTTCTTCAACGAAGTGGCGTTGTGTTATTTTATGAAGGCTAGTTTACAGATTAGCGTTTGACTGTGACCGGCCGTGTTGGAACCGCATGCGACTTAAGACTTACGACGAGCCAACACGCTGGCACACTGTCGCCACCCATCGTATAGCCCACGAACCCGGCCCTCCTATCTGCGTGGAATTAGACTGTAGGTTTTGCTGTGTTTGTGAGATGAAATCTACGTACTACCTAGAGAATGGTCATATATACGTAAGTCATAACATTGATTGACTTAATTCAACTGTGTTTTGAAGAAAACGCTTAAAAAATAGAGGAAATGTTCGCAGATCCGTGTCGTTGCAAGGTTACCCGAGAAGTCGCGCCGGCGTGTTATATCGTCGTGAGCCGTCACAAGCGGCCCCGACGCTCACGCTCAAACGCACTAATGAATCTTCAATTTACACCCATATTGTTCACATTGTACCTAGGTATGGTGGTTGAGCTCTGAGCTTGGAGGAAGTGGGAACTATGGCATCGGCCGGTTCCTAAAAAGAGAGATAAAGATTTATATATAGCACTGCACTGTCAGCTTATGGCAGAACGGAGTATATATATAGAGAGAGAGAGAATAGAGCTTAAAGATTGTAGTTTCGCTGCGCGAGACGTCGGTTTTCTTCTTTGTGCGAAAGGCAAGCTCAAATCGCACCAGGGGTCCTTCGACTAAAGTTCATTTCTTTCTAGTTAGGGCAGTATAAGCTTTAAATAAAATGTTTCTTTTATTGGTTTAATGTTTGTGTCCATCGCACTCCTCTTTTTTTTTTTTTTTTTTTGCTCTTTTACGTTTGTTTTTCCCATTGTTTTAAAGGAAAAGCGCGTGCACTGCTCGAATTCGGGGATTATCCGACTGTTTTTATTTCAGATGCCTTAAACTGTTACAACATCTCTCTCGCTCGCTGCTTGCACTTTTGCTGGCACCAGGGTTCCAACTGAAGAGCCTCCGGACACCCCTCGTCAATTTGAAGTAGAGCGTGACAAATGCTGCCATATCCTCCCAGCCCATCAGGCACCCGGATCATGTTATATATAATCCCGTGATCTGGTAAAGCCAGACGTGGAGCGTAAGATCACGTGACGTCCTGCCTGATCCTGATTGGCTCAGAAAGCTGCGATAGCGTTCGCCGCGCTCTATCGTTTAGAGCGAAACGCACTTATTATTTTCTTGCGGCTTTCATAACGAACGACAAAAGTAAAGCATAGAGATAATCGCATATACCACCTTCGTGCGATGATGTAAGCCCCTGTATCGAGCACGTCCCTTCAAAGGCTTTATTTTAGAACTCGAGGGTAAGGCGCTTATCTAGGGATGAAGCCAGAAGCAATCGGATAGCCACCGGCAGGGAGAAAACGCACTCGTGGCCGGTTATTTTTTTTTTCTTATTTTTCTTTTTTCCAGAGTTTCCTAGAACGATACTTATAGCTCGCACGTTTCACTTTGTGTAGTTTCGTTGGAACGACCCCCTTTGTTGTCGGTTGTTGTTCTCAAGTTTATTGCTGTTTCGTCGCTCTCCATCACCGCGCGTTTCTCCGGAACAAACACTGGAGCAGGTCGCTCTCGGGCCCATAACGTCGTACTACGCCGAAATAAAGTATAAAAAACCGAAACTGGCCTAAAGGAGGATAGCAGTTGAGTGTGTGTATGGCTTGTTGAAGTTACGAAGGTAGAACACCTACGCTCGGATCACTACTACAGAGCTGACAGTGGAGTGGAGGCTACGAGTTGATTGGACCAGTCCCACGGCGATCTTTCGCCGCCCGATTGTGCTCCCGCCCACGCCCACGACGCGCAGAGAGCGGTGTCAGGTGATGAAAGAGGGGCGGCTGATTGGTCCGGCGGGTGCGCATAGCTTCCGCTCCACTGTCAGCTTAGGGGTGAACGGAACATAGCTGACACGCGGCGGGGCTGATGGAAGTGAAATAATATTGGAGTTTACGGTCGTTTTCGCGTGTGTACAGTCTTTCGGTCGTTCCGTTCGGCAGTTTGTTGCTTGTTCGTGAAATTCGGTAAAAAAAAATGCGAGGTTACGTTTTTTGGTTTTTTGTTAGGTGAGGTTGTACGGGTTCTGACAAAGCCGTACCCCTGGGGGTCCAGGACCTAATCTCCGGTTCCTTCAGAGAATGAGTCCCTAGAAAACTGAGAACCGAACATAATTGTAAGGTACTGTAATGGTTTTCTGGCGCTGTAGAAATGATACTTTAAGTGTTATGACGGGACCTGTTCGGACGCTCTGAAAGTGGCACAGAGATGGTTTTTGTTTTTGTTTTGTTTTTTTTGTAAACTGGTCGGGTTTCTTTTGTTTTGTTTTCTTACAACGTTCCTGGTACGTGAAAAAACGAAGAAAAAAAAATAAAAGCAAGGAAAGAGTGATTTCTTTCAGCCTCAGGTAACCGAGTTGTCTCGAATTCGGGAAGTCGTGTGTTGCTACCTCCTTGTTACGGATGAAGGATGTTTGATTGATTATGCGTAATAACTGTTCGTTATGTGGAGCAGTTAAATTGGGGCTGTGCCGGAGGTATCGTCACCCTTATTATGTGAGTCTGTCGCTCACATTGTGGACGTTCGTTCTTTCTGTGTCACGCGACTTTTCTCGAAGCAACACTGGCTCGCGAGCGCTGTCATATTGTTGGGTGCTTCGCGGGGTCACTTGGTCACTGGCATAATTCTGAAATGCGAACGTTTCCTTATTCTTCTCCTTTTTTTTTATGAGAAAAACAATGTTGCGCATTTCGTTGACATTTGAGTAGCATAAGTCTTACTTGTTACCCGTTTGTTCACGTTCTCCACAGTACAGGCGTTTAAAGGACTTTTTTTTTTCTTGTGAGAGGTTTTACATTTTTGTTATACTAGAGGATATTGAAGGGATTTAAAACTTCTATATATTCCTTATACTAGTGCAGTTTAGGATATTGCATCCTTCATTAGCGCTTTGAAGAATTTTTGTGCTGTGTTCCCCACTGCAAGGTTTTGTCCGCGCGTTAATAACTATTTGGAGACATAAATCATTTCGCATCGTAATCATCACCATCAAATACTTTATTCCGAACCACCGAAAGAAGGACAGTTCAGGTGAACTGTCCTTCTTTCGTTCCTTCGAGATAAATTTGATGAAGCTTAATTTGAAAATCGATTAACAAATATTTTTCAAAAACCAAAGGAACCGATGCACCTTGCACTTGACTTTATCTGCACGTTATTAAAAATGATGAAATTGACCTAGAAAACGTAAACACAAACTCCAACGCTTGTACGAAAAGACAACAACAAAAAAAAAACAGGTTCTGTTTTTGATAAAAGTTATACACTCGCCCCGTCACCCGTGCCTTCCTGGTCATCCTGCGAATAATTACTTTTCCTCGCTACTCATAACAAACACCACCTAAGTGATTCGAGATGTAAATCACAATTTACAATGATGTAACGTCCTTATCTTACCTTATCTCTCGAGAAAAAATGGTGTCAAAAGGTGTATTGTTACACCCTTTTGTCCCATATAATACACCCCAAAACTTCAATTCTACGTACAGCGCCGTATACAGTCAAACAGACGGCCCCAAATTTTACGAGGGGCTTGATAGCCGTGTGGTACAACTTGTTCAAATAGCTGATGTGCGTTTTACTGACTACAAAAGAAATAATCGGGGGTTTCTTGGCCCTACTGTAAAAACTCGGTGTTTTCTTTATGTGGTCTTTGATACGTACTTTAGCTATTTAAAAAAAGTTATATTGCTCTGTTATCAAGCCCCTCGTGATATTTGGGGTCGTTTGTTCGACTATAGGGCGCTTTACGTCGAATCAAACTTTTGGGGTGTATTATATGTAACAAAGGGTGTAACGATACACCCTTTTTTCTTGAGAGTGTTCTGGAAAGTCATACTCAAGTTCGCTCTTCTGCGAAGCCCGCAAGGGGTGTAAAGGACCGGGTGTTATTCGTTCTTTTTGCTGAAAGTGTATTTGGAATATTTCTCAAATGAGATTACGCCACCGGGATGAACTCCGTTCTTCTACGGCGTCGCTCTATGCTCTTATGGGACCTCTTTACACAAACATAAAACTTTACTGTCATTCTGGGGGATGTTTACGCCGTTCCCACTTTGCTTTGCTCCCATTCAATTTCGTCGTGGCCCGGTTTCTTCCCCGTGTCCAGCCCAAGTGCAGCGGCGGCAACGGCGTCGACGAACACGCCGAGGGGCGAGCGCGACGATCACGGAGGTCGGCGGCGAGCGCGGACACCCAGCCGCTGGACCTACAGACGGGAGACATCGTCACGGACGTCACCATGGAGACGGCCCTCTTCGTCGTCCACAACCTGACGCCGTCACCGCAGGCGTCATCTGACGAGGACGCCTTCAGACCGGACGTCAAAGGTAGTGAAAAAAAAGTCTTATACCGCATTCCGCGTAGCACATGCCGGCGACACTGCCAGTGCGGAGCGCAAGTTCGTCTGCTTCTTTTTGCAAGGGTCGTGGTGACTTCAGAAAGACGCGGAGCTCTGATTGGCTCTTATTGAGGGATAGTGGCTAGACCTCAAAGCAAGCTGCCTTGAGCTCTACCCATTATCCTTCATTCAGAACCAATCAGAGCTGGACGTTCTGACGTCACCACAACCCCTGCAAAAAGAAAGCAGACGAACTTACGCTCCGAATACATCATACGAAAGACAGTCTGCAGAGTTTTGCGTGAGCCGTATTTTTTTCTTGTATAAAGGTGCTGTTACGTTGGTCATGCAAAAACCGTCTGCTAACAGTTTTGTCTTCAGACACGAGACGCCGACGTGTTGTCGAATGTAGGGAGCTTGAGCTGCAAGTGGGACAACTGGAAGACCTTCCTGTCGTTCTTATCTTGTCAACAACTATGTATGCTATAGGCTAAACAATTGAAGGTGTTTCACCACAGGGATTGGGAACCAGGTATCCACTTAACCCAACACCTCCTAGACAACTTTAAAGCCTGCGCGTTACGTCACGTGAAGTCACGTCCGGGAGGCCGGCACGGGCACTGATTGGATGGGAGTGTCGCGTCAGAGTTCGTGTGGGACTATGGTATAGGAAACGAGCCTCACGCGAACGCTGACGCGGCACTCGTATCCAATCAGCACCCGTGCCGGCCTCCCGGATGTGACGTCATGTCACGTAACCAGCAGACTTTGCTTTCTAGGAGTTGCTGCCTAACCGGGTTTTAGTGTCGTCGAGCGGATATGGCGACGTCACTGGTTGCCAAGAACAATTCGTTTGGTGTCGTGGCTTACGTTTCAATTATTTCGAACATTGAAGGAGCCCGAGATCGAGGCTATCGTTTCGCTCGAAATTTAGCTCGTGCCGCCGGAAGACAGTTGCACATGTGCAGCCTTCTCCAGCTCACTAAATCAAAAGAACAAAGCAGAAACGTGAGACTTCGTTTGTGACGAAGAAAGTATCTAGTGCAAGTATCTAAGTGGTGGAGCACAGATGTCCCGGGGATTGCTACTTGCGCCGCAGCTAAACGCACTCAAGCACACTCAAATGAAAACGTTTGAACGGGTATCGAAGGCCCATAGTTGCGTTTGATAGTGTTGTAGCGCGTTTGACTGCGCTGCAACGGCGAGTAACCAGGACATCCGTGCAGTATATCCGGCGTGCCATACCACTCCTTCACCCTCAAAAGGGAAGGGTGTCGACCTGCACCCTTTTGTCCCATATAATGCTCGAAGAATTTAAATTCTACGTACAGCGCACTGGCGACGAACAGACGGTTTCAACTTTTATGACGGACTCGACAACGGTGCGATATAATCTATTAAACAGATAAAGTACGTATCAAAGACTGCAGAAAAAAAAAAACACTAAGGTTTTGCAGTAAAACCAAGAAAACATGGATTTAGTTTTGTAGTTAGTAACTTGTATTACTTATTTAAACAAGTTGTACCACTCGGCTATCGAGCCGCTCTAGAAAGTTGGTACCGTCGGTTTGACGCCAGCGCGCTGTGCTTCAAACTGAAATTTTGAGGTGTCTTCTTATAGGAGATGAGGGGTGTAAGAGTATACCTTTTCTTTTTCCTTTTTGTTTTTTTTTCTGAGTGTTGAATAGGTTTCCACGCTTCCTACGAAGCACAGATGCCTCGGGGGAGTTGCGGCCATTTCTCGACGCGCAACGCAGTCAAACGCACTCGAACGCAGCTGTGTGAACGGCTCTCGAGTGTCATCCCGCGGAGAAGCGGGCTCTTGAAACGTGCAACGATAAGGAGTCTGGGGCGCGGGACAACAGTGTGTCGGAAGGTATAAGCCTCGGCTCTGCTCGATCAATAAATAATGCGCAGGCAGAGTCATATTTTAGGGACGGCGAGAGAGAGAGAGAGCGGTTCCTCGTGCTACGGAAACACATCGTCCTTGGGAATAATGCAAACCCTCCGCGAACGCCACCCACGTTCGTGTTTCGCAACGCGTTATGCATGCAAGCGCTTTCCATATATATCGTGGGGCATATTTCGCGCGTTCACTCCGCGGCGATTCGCCAGTTGTTGTTCCTTCTCGTATCCCCATTCGAACGATTCCATGTATTGTACATATTCAAGAAAGATGATGTGTCTCCTCTGATAGGAACGAATTGCCTGTCTCTTCCCACCTCCTCCCACGCGCGAAGCGATCAGTTCAGCTCGAGATCCTTTGTTGCGAAAATGGCTAATCAGGTATTCATGATCGATCCAGAATAATCGCAGACTTTCTTCGCCAAGCGGTACGTACCCAACGAACCAAGTTCGTACTCGGGAAAATGGCTTTGTTTTGCACGGTAGTTTGAGTTTTGCGGTCCTCTCGTATGGAATGACGACCTATTTCGTATACATGCAGAAACAAAAAGAATAGATGTATTATTATGAACTCACGCGGGCATAAAAATGTTCCTCTGATTACAATATTTTACTTGGTAGTAAAACCCCGTCCTGGGGTCGATATGCATTATGCTTACAGATGAACGTGTCGGTGTCTGCATTATGAAAACGAAAGAGGGGCATAGAAGACAAACGCGGAATGCAAGCGTCCGGCGTTTGGCTCTCGCATTCGAACGCGTTCGCCGACTGTAGTGGAGACAAAGGGTCTTCGCGCCTCGCCGCTGCGGCGAGACGCGAAGACCCGTGTGTGTTTCGGGTCCTTGCCGCTGCAAAAGCTGTGCGCTGTCGTCCAAGCCTCCCCGAGAAATGGCTCTTCGATGCTCTGTACTACCAGATCCTCGCGCTCTAAATCTGCGACCGGGCACTCTATAGCTCCCTCATCGAACTGCCAGGCCTTTTGAGTATAGAGGAGGCTATGGCCAGGGGACTATACGAGTATTTGTTCCGCGCGAGCGTCTTAATCGCCATCCTGGCTCGCACAGCTTGCATAAAACGACTCCCGTGGCAGGAGTGCACTGTGGTGTATACGGTACAGACCATCAAGTCTTTCCTATCCTCCGCGCCGTCGTACGTTTTTTGTAAAACGCCTTGGGACTCGCGAGTTTGTTTATTCTTTTTATTTAGTCTAGCGCTTTCTTCCCCTCTCCCGTAGATGTTATTGCATGATCGAAAGCGTGACGCGTGACTTTGGGGCCTTGCAGCCTGGGGAACCGCCGCGCCGGTTCGTGCTGCTTTCGCCTATTGAAAGTCAGAAAAAATTTTATTTTTGCAATGGCCAGCTTCTTTTAGTTTTGTGTGTGAGTTTCGGAGAGCGATCGGACGGTCTCCGACCTCTTCGTCTGGGCGTCATCCGTCTTCCGTTAGCGTCCAATGACTTTATCGCGTGGCTTGTCGATTAACCGGTAAGCGCGGCAAACCCATGCAACTTTCTTTTTCGTATTTTTTTTTTTTTTTTCTGGCGGTGAGTTTATACGGAACACGGATTTTGGGATGACCGAGCATCTTGTGTACGTGGGTTAAGCGCGATGTCGGGTTGGCTTTCCCATGCGTGGCACGACCCGTTTTCCACGCGCTAAACGCCTGTCGTTCGTCTGTCCACGAATAAAAGAAGACGACACACGGGTGCAGGATGGGATTTACCGAAGTTGATGGTAGACAAAATAAAATGGCCATTGACACCGGGTGTTCAGTCTGAGATCGGGGATCTCTAATCGCTAGAGAAAAGTTGACGAAACAAGAAGACAAGAAATTGTACAGCATGATGGAATAATGATGCTTTCGACACCTTTCAAATGAAAGTATTTTTAGGGTCCAATTTATCTTTTTCTGAGACTGAAATAAATGTTTGAATCGGGCGCCGGCTTGCGCCACCTAGCTTGCGAATGGTCACGAGAGCACCACTAAGCCTGCGAACATCGTTTAATTTCCATCACTGGCGACGAAAGAGAAACCGAGGGTAAAGTCTTTTTTGTACAGCTGCGCGAGCCCTTGCAACCAAACTAAAAAGAAGTAACAAGAAAGGGACACTTGTGACCAGGGACTCACACCGAAAAATATAACGTTTCGGTTACGGTTACGGTTACCGCTTCCTGTTGATAACGGTTTCGTTTCGGTTTTTTACGGTTTTAATTTTTACGGTTTCGGTTACCGGTTACACGTTCATAAAAACCGGTTTATTTCGATTTTTCCAATAATTTGTCTAATTGAAATGCTAGACAGCCATTTTAGAAAAAACTGCTTAAAGTAGTCTCAGATATCCAATAACGTGAAATACAAGGAACCTAGAAACGTCTTAATACTTCTAATTGGTCAGAAGTTGCACACGTTCCTAGCTCCAACTCTTGTTCACTACATCTACTTACATTATTTAGTTTGATGCCCGAGCATACATGATACTTCTAGTACTCGGGGATCATCGCGTTCTATATAATAAAAATTAAAATAAACACCGCTACTCTGTTGTTTGGCACCATTTATAAACAATTACCCTAAGAAAGTTCCCACTTGATGCTGGAAGAACCATTCGCACTTTCTCGTCGCTACAGTTGATTTCAACCTCATACATGCAGGCGAGTCTTCGCTTCACTGAAGGAAGGAACAGAACTACAGCCATCCACTAGTAAAATACTGCTAAGTGGAGTGAAGTAATAAAATTGAGAGCTGGGCTGGGCGGGCCGTGAGGCAAGAAGCCTTCGTGCAGCGAATGGAAAGTCCGCCGTAGTCGGGCGGCCCGTGAAAACTACTTGCCTCACTAAACACTGCCCAGTCGACTTCAGGTGCCTGCTGGGTCGAGTGGACTGGCGGTGTAGGTCCCGTCGCTTTTGACTTGTAGGCAGTGCTACCCAGGTCCGACTGAGAGTCTTCGACGACGCTTTGTTTGTCTGTAGTGTGTTCCTTTGTGTTGGTGTGGTTTTCCTCCTTGCCATCGTACGTGTCGAAGGAGCCGTCATCGGCGTGGGGCTCAATGACTGTCGGTCCTGCTGAGCCACTCCAGGATTCGCT